CTGCTTGCTGACAGAAGAACGGAAACTCCCAGTCTGTTTGTTGTAGTCAAGACATAACAAGGTGTTCGAGTTATCCCACTTTGCTGTTCGTCGTCTGTTTCTTACTTTTCATTTCTTTCATTTAAGGATTATGGCACCTTTGAACATTTGGCCAAATTTGGAAAATAAAAAAAAATCATTTTATTTATCCCACCGTAATTACAGAGCATCATGCTAAACATGTGTTCTAATTTGACCACTTAAAAGAAAATTCTTCGTTGTCGCTGGTCATATTGCCTCATTTCGTCGCTGGGTGGGGTGAATGAACGTACTCTGTACCTGAAATTACTTGGCAATGCGGTCGAAGTGTGGCGCTACGATCGCTGAAGCCAGCCGAATGTCAGTTCGCGTGGCTGTGCAGTCGTGTGTGGTTAGAATCTGGTGAACATGGGATCGTGAGGTTGTTTACAATGCTATTTGCTGTGATCGTGATAATTCTCGCAGGTAAGTGCTTACTATAGGTTGATTTCGCCTTTGAAACAACATTTATTTGTCAAATCTGTCCTACACAACAAAGACGCCGGACAGGTAGCGTGAATGTCGGTTGTGCGAGGCCTGGGTTTGATTCTTCATGTGTCTTCATTTCGGCCGCTCCTTGTAGATCATGTCTGCCTCACAGTCGGAAGACTCAACAACAACCGACCTGACAGCGTACATTATTTTGTTGTATTACACAATTTTGTTGGACTTGCGTGTAAGATGGAGGAAGTAACAGGAAGATATTACATAATAGGAGCTTAATAAATCTGTATTTTTCAGAAAGCATTATTTTGGTGTTAAAATCACTATGGGGCATGTAGCATGTGAAGATTAATCACGCGAAAGCAATGCGAAATATTTGACTGCTTAGAGGAAATGGATGATTCGTAATTTACTTTGCAAATAAGGTTGCGCCTTAATTTTAATTTGAAATGCTGCATTTTAAAATCAGTATGTACGCCTACTTTCAAACAATGACAGGCCTCTTTGGTACCGTAGTTGGGTCTGCAGTTACATTAGGTATGCCCCAAACCTGAAATCTTACTCCACAAAGCGGTAGTATGAACACGTGAGATAACAAATCAGCCAACTAAGTAAGCAAGAAACATGAAATTGTCTCTTTCTTCAGAAACTGATAGTTGCTAAGCTAACAAATAAATCCTCATGCTAGTGTGGAACCCAATGATTCATTACTGTTTTAACAAGAACCTTCCATTGGTCCCTGTCCTAAGTCACACGGATTCAGTGCGTCATAAAACTAGACTTAGTTGTCCAAAATTGTTTGAGATTGATATGAGCAGTCGCCATTCAACTTAGGAAATACAAAATCCTTTTGTATGGCAACCGATCATCAGAAGACAAGTAAATTCAACTCCCGAAACGTCGTATATATCAAATGGGTAGGTGGGGCTACCTCAAGTGTCCAATATAATATTTTTATGGCTTTTGATATACGTAGGGGCCTGCTTGTGAATTATATTAAGTAATTGTGGATAATTGGAATTATTGTTTCGTATTCGGGAAATTCTAGGTTCAAATCTCGACCCAGAAACCGGCTGTCGTGATCGATTCTTTTCATGGATATATGTAGTCTGTGTTACTGACAGCGTCGTTAAATAAACTATAAAATAAAATATGTTTGAGAAAATTTTGTGAACTACAGAATTTATCTCCAACTCGCGATTACTTCGAAGCAGCCCCAATCTGACCCCGAGTATATATGAATGTCCACTCTTGCTGTAGTGAAATGACTGGCTTCGGAATGGATAGACAAGAGTTCATTTCCCAGCAGAGGCCGTAATTCTTCGTTTTACACCATGTGCAGATCTGCTCTGGGCTCCACACAGCCTCCAAACCAAGAGATGCGAGAAAACTTTTGCTGGTATTTCGTGGCTGGAGATCGAAGTTTCATCAGCGTAGAAGCTAAAATGCTTGTAACATTACCTTCACGGCAACCGTGGGAAAGAAAGCTGGATTAAGGCAAGAGATGTTATTCGTACAAACTGACGCGAATATTGAACTGTGACGGGGAACGCGAAAGGGCATAAATGCATCCTCGTTGCTGGCTTGACATGCGATGCCCACATCTGTTTGACGTGTGGGTTGCAGGGATTTTTCTCAGATCGTGTTTCCGTCGCGATGTTTATGGGTTGGGTAGTAGTGTGCCGTGACTCATTAGGCAGCCCCAAGTTGTCGACAGAAAGGCTGCCGTTGTACCAAGTCTCCAGTGTTTGTGGTTGTGACCAATTGCAGACTGGCTAATGGTGTTTTTCTCAGGTCCTCCTCAGGTTACAAGGTCTCAGCTGAAGTGGCCCGCTCGCAACTCCCTCTGTCGGCAGGCTTAACTTATTCATTCCGTAATTTCGTTTATCTAAAATAACGCGATAATGATATTAAACTAGAGGTTTAAGATAAAATACTGTGAAGATGGTTCAGCTCTGAGATAGTGTAAACTAAAAAAGAATAACAGAAAACAACAAAAGATATTTGTTTTCGGGAAAAGTCTGTAACGATTTAAGACCTTTAGACCAGTGGTATTCAACCTGGGGTACGAGAAGACATCTTAGGGGGTACGTAAAATTTAAAATATATATATATTATTTTATGATAAACACTGAATAATCAGTATTGTAATTGATTTAATTTATTTTAGATGTAGATTATATACTATGTATAACTTGAATTATACACCAACATCTTTGGGGGTACAAAGTTGAAGAGAAATTATAATTGGGGGTACGCGAATGAAAAAGGTTGAATACCACTGTACTAGAGGATATATGTCGATGCCAAACACATACCATGTTTTAAAACGGTCAAATACTCTGTATAGACATTTGGGATCGCAATATTTTCTAATAAGTAGAAAGAGAACGTAAATTCTTCTCTGTAAAAGTAAAGTAAAGTTTGTCCCACTATACGCCATGTAGGCGCTTGGGGGGAGTGGAGGTATAGCTCCTCTCTTCCTTGACCTCGGCACTAGATGGGGGTGAGTGGTCAGCATCACGCCCCGGCCGTGCTTTACCCCCGGGAAAGGACCCCGGTACCCATTGAAGAGGAGGCTGGGTGGGCCCCAGAGCCGGTCTGGACGCAGAGGCTAGAGGAAAAATCCTCTGTCCCCGTCGGGGATCGAACCCCCGTCCAATCAGTACCTAGTTACGGTACAGACTGAAGATAATGAAGTCGAGGTTACAGAAACAACGCTTGAAGAATTAATAGAAGTTTCATTCAATGGCAAAGATCCGGGAGTAGGCAATGTAAATTTAGAACTGTATGAACACGCACCGGAGGAATTTTAGTGGTACAGTTTTAAATTAAGCATATTTTACTGGAAAAGTCAGAGATGCACTGAGAAATGCACCAGTGATTAGCATTTTCAAAACGTTAGGTGTGTGTGTGTGTAGTGTGACAGTTGTAGCTCGTTGGTTAGAATTTGACCTTCGATCTTTGGAAATGATCGGGGAATTTCCCGACTGGGGATTCCCCGCATGGGAATTATTATTATTATAGTAATATATTATATTATAGTATTGTAGTAGCTGTTGGAGTGAGCCGGGATAGCTCAGTCAGTATAGTGACTAGCTACGGGCTGGACGGCCGGGGTTCGATCCCCGACAGGGGTAGAGGATTTTTCCTCTAGCCTCTGCGTCCAGACCGGCTCTGGGGCCCACCCAGCCTCCTCTACAATGGGTACCGGGGTCCTTTCCCGGGGGTAAAGCCGGCCGGGGCGTGATGCTGACCGCTCACCCCATCTAGTGCCGAGGTCAAGGAAGAGAGGAGCTATACCTCCTCTCACCCCAAGCGCCTACATGGCGTATAGTGGGACAAACTTTACTTTACTTTTAGTAGCTGTTGGAGTGGACGGACGTGTTTTGTTGGTATTCCGTATATTGTGTCAGCAATTGTTTTGTGAGTTTGCTGGATTTGGTGTGCTACCTGCCGTGTAAGAAATCATTTTATGGAAAACAAAAAATTATTAGGTGCAGTTGACCCTGTGGCTCTAGAAATCACCTCTTTTGTTTAAAAATTACGGAAACTGAATGTTCGTTTTATATGAGCAGTGGTGTATCCACCTTTAAGTCTGTTTCGTGCGTCCATGGATGACAACACTCCTGTTCGTGCAACTAGATCGGCCTCCACATCGGATCTTCCTCTGAAGTTTGTATCTCCCGTCAGGGAGCTCATCTTGCCAGCATTTAAGGACCCTGAATCGCTCAGTGTACAACTTGAGACGGTTCGGCTGAATGGTGTTAGCACCCACAATTTAGTTGAAAACTTGGTCCGGATGGTGCTTAAGCTTTCTGATAATGTTCGGCAACTTTGGAAGGACAATGATCATCTCAAATTTCATCTGAACAAAATTACTTGTGGGGTACCAGTTACATCTGTACGTGCTATCAAACCTTCCATCCAGGGGTCAGCTACCTCGGTTAGCAACGAGCTGCCACCGAAGGCAGCAGAGTCTACGGTTTGTCCTGCCTCGGCATCTGCTGGATCTAAATCTTGTAGGGAAGCGCTTTCTGCTGGTGTGAAGTCTACAGTTTCAATTGCTGATTCTGATGGTCTCACTACAGTTACTTACAAAAAGAAGCCTGCTTCTGCAACTCCCATGGTTAATTCTGGTTGTAAACGTAGGTACGACCTTGAACTTAACGCGGGAATGTGTTTGGATAGAAATCTCTATTCCCGATGGTTTTAATTTACTTGTTGGTAATCGTTATTTTCAAAATTATTTAAAATTATTTTATTTCTTTGGAAGCTACGTTGAACACTCAAAATTTCCGCGTAGTCCTATCAGGTGACTTTAATGTACCTGGTTATGACTGGGTTCATGGGTGTCCCCATGCTAACTCACATTATTATACCAAACTTAGAGGTGAGGTAACTTATAATGCTGCATGTTATTTTGGACTTTCCTCTAATTTTGTTGATTGGTTTTGTAGTTATCTTACCAACAGACATTCCTTTGTACGTATATCGGGAAAGCTTTCGTATTCTTATCTTGTTAAGTCAGGAGTGCCTCAAGATTCTACCTTAAGCCCCTTACTTTTTAACATATTTATTAATGATATTTGTGATTCTCTTTCCAATTCCACTTTACTGTTGTTTGCTGACGATTTAAAGATATATCGTAATATTAGAAACGCTTTTGATTGTAAGTTGCTGCAACATGATATTCATGCTGTGAAAAATTGGTGTCATAAAAATGGTATGAAGCTTAATTTAGGTAAAACCACGATTATATCTTTTATTCGCAAAACAAGCAGCATATATTTCTATTACAAATTATATGACAATTTGATATTGCGTTCTCAGTGTGTTAAAGATCTCAGTGTACTTTTGGACTGCAAACTTTATTTTCACCAGCATATTTAGAATGCTAGGTTTGATTAGGTATATTACGTCTTCATTTTCTACTTTAGATAGCCTATTGGTTTTGTACAATAATCTTGTTCGGTCTAAAC